CACAGGCATCAATGACACATCACGGCCTTCCTCCCAGCACCCTGTGACCAGTGGCCAGATGTGCCCACAGTAGTCTGGAGCCCAGGGTATATGGTATCATGCTCCTCAGCCATGTCAGCTTAGGTGGTAGTGTTCAAATGAAAAAGGTTGCGGATACACCTTTCTATATCCTTCACTATGCTGGCTTGGACTTCTGGGGAGCTGCTAGATGGCACATGAGCTTCAGGAAGTTGTTGAATGTCTGAAGGTTCTGGCAGGTGCCATACTCCTGGGACTCAGACTCCATCCTGTGCTCTCAGGGATCTGAGCAAAATGGACCATGCACTCCAGCACACAGGGCTGGTGGGAGGGAACTGGGGGGGGTCCCCTTGGCAGCCAGCCACTCAGCATTTTCCTCTGTGAACTGGGAATCTTGGGGCAACACTGGAGACTTGCCCACTGCAAGGCATACTGGGATGGGTGTTCTCCCTGCACCCCTGGCAGCAGAACAACAGCTCTTCAGGCTGCTGCTTGCGGTGGATGTACATCTGTACAAATATGACCGGTAATATTTCTGAACCATGTACAAACCAGTGACACTGGGAACAATCCAGTTGTTATATTTATCCTCTGCTTCCTGCTCTGCTATTCAATTAATATGCAGAAGCAGAAGTGCTTGAGAGGTGGGGTTGTACTGTTCCTCCTTTTTAAGTGTCCCACCAATGATTCTGACCTATATGTGTATATGTAATGATCATTTTTAAGTCTTTACTGACTTGAAAGCACATCTGTTACAAAGACTTGAATGAACTGCTTGTACCTGATGTCAGGTTGAGTGATTCCAGAAATTGAATTTTTTTCACTGTCCCCTTCCTTGAACAGACTAATGCACTCCTTCCAGAATGTCACTTCAAGTTAATTGCTCTTTTAAAAACTATTCTAAAAAGAGCACTTTACTGTTAAAATATTTTGTGTAAAAGAGTCTTACGCTGTAGAAAAGTACTCTTCACTTTTGAAAGAGAGGCGCTCAGATGTTAACCTTTGAAGTGGAGTGTTTATTTTTTCAGCGAAGTTAAACTGACAACCTGAATGTAATAGGGGAAAAAAACAAACCCGGTGAACAGGTATTTTAATACAATTTCTTAAATGGAATCATGGGGTGGACTTTATATTAAAAACCAAGTCCAGTCATCAAGAGCAAACAAGAAAAACGTGCAGACAAAACACATACATTCTTCAGGAACAAACCTTCCTAGCCAGAGCAAACCTATGTTTTTTTACCTAATGACATGAACCCAGTGTTGAATTCCTTTATTTCATGAATTTGCTGAGATGCCCCTAATCTTAAGGAAGATCATATGAAAGAGATATTTGCTCTATTCTCACTCTCTAATGTGGAGCAGGAGAGACATTTAGATTGGAGTCAGTCCAGGTTTAAGATACCATGGAGGGATATAAGTGTTCAGGCCAAGGAAGAGTCCTGCTGCATGTTATCTTGTCTCAGCACATGACACTGCAGCCACAATAGCAGCAGGTTTCTAGATCAGCCAGAAGGTAGGCCTGTTGCTGACAATCTGCCACAATAGTGATGCTGCTTTGAGCCATTGTACAACTCCTGTGAGGGGATAAAAAGCCAAAGTTTAAAATAAGTTTAAATGAAGATTTAGATGAAAACCCAGCAGCATTTTACTAATTCATTTTGCTGGTAAGGATTGTGAAATGTGGCCCAAAGACATGGAAAGTACACCTGAGGACTAGGGGAAAGGATGTTATTGAGCAAGTACATACTAGTTGAGGGGAAAGGTTGCATGGTTCATGCCAGCTCTAGCAGACAAACTAGTTCTGGTGTCTCTCCCACTGTGACCATCTGAAATGCAGATGAGAGTGCCATGCCATGTGAGTGTGGGCTGAGCAGACTGTGAGCTTCTGGTGCTTGAGACGGATGAAGACGTTTCTGTAGCAGTGGTCTCCAACCTTTCACTTTGGGAATTGAAAAGGAACTCAAGATCTACCTTCCCCCCCAGCCCAGCAGGTAAGTTTGTGGGGAGGGGAGGGGGAAGAGGAAAGGGCCGTGGGGTGCGGGGGCGTGGAGTAGATGGAGGCCCCAACTCTAGCCCCCACTCCCTTCCTCACTGCTGGGGCCTCAATCTGCCCCCACCCCCAGTGGCGGTGAGAGAGGTAGCACAACTGGTGCGGGGCAGGGGACAGAGCCGCAAGTGGATCATCCAGGGGACATGGGGAGGGGGAGGCACGCAGCCCAGGAGGCCATGGGGAGGCACATGCCCCTGGATCTGCCTGTCGGGCAGGATGGGTCCTGCATTTGGTGGGGGAGGGAGCATTTGCCTCCCTTGCCACCATCTGTGTGCGGCAGAGGCGGCTCCTGGTATGGGGTGGCTTTTGTGCTCTGAACCCTGCTGCACATGCCCCCTGGGCCTCTGCTCCTTCCCTCTCCCAACGACTGACTTGCTGGGCAGGTCTGTAGATACCACTACTCTGTAGTGGTAGCTACTCTTATCTTCTTTCTCTCTCAGTGTCGCGAACCCACTCCCTCCCCTTCCTCCACCCCGCCTTCCCTCCCCACCAGGCTTAGGTGGCTCACACTGTATTTTCTGTAACCTAGTTGCGTTCCCCTCATCACCCCCATCCCTCTAATGTTAGTCCCTTGCTCGGGCAATTTGTATTTCCCTACCGGCTTTGTCATCTTTTTGGATTCACAATCCTAAACATCTACTAATAAAATTCAATCTCATACTTTGTCAAATGTAGGGTGTATATTTTCTTTCCCATGTTTTATTCTATCCACTTGAATTTTCAACTTCGCTTAAATCTATTTAAAGCAGACAGCAGCATGCTGACCAACAAGGCTGCAGCTGTCAGCTTGCTAGAAGGTCTTTTGCAGCTACCAGAATATGAACTGCTTATACACCAGTGCCCATTTGCGGGGTTTGGCAGATAATTCCCCAAGAAGGGCTACAAACTTTCAATAATAAATCTGTGTGTGAGGGCTTACAGACCTTGGCTCTGCTAAAGGCCAAACTTTGTAGCAGAACCAACAATGACCTGAAGCAGACAGCTCTTGACATCTCTGGTTATTGCTCATTATCTAGACATAGGTTTGCTCTGGCTAGGGAGGTTAATTCCTTAAGAATGCACGTGTTGTATTTTCTGCATGGGTTTTTTTTGTCTGCACTTGATCGGGTCTGTAATGCCCAGGCTAAATGACTCTCAGAAATGGGCTGGTAGCCCATAGTTAGTACATGGATCTGAATGTCTCCATAAGAAAGGCAGAGAAAAGTTGACCTAGTGTCTTATTAAATGTATTTATTACAGAAATGCCTAAGCACCAGTCCAGAATGTAGCCCTGTTGAGCAAGGCATTGTATTGACACAAGAGTAATAGAATGTCCCTGCACTAACAGGTACCCAGTCAAAGTAAGGTGACAAGCTGGGTGAGTATAATGTTAGACCATATCAGTAGAATGAACAGTTGGATGGCAGCAAATGGCATGGTAGTACAGTGGCTCATTTTGGGAATTGAGAGAAGATCTGATTAGTTAGGAGGGGATCAGTTAAACGGAAAGAAAAAAGGAAGTGGGTGGACATTAGGGAAGAGGAGAGCAGGAGGGAGAAGGTGTGGAGTGAAGCTGAGTGAATGTACTGACAGGAAGGGTGCTGTGAAGCTTGGAAGGAACATCTAATTGGCACAAGGCAGACAGCATAGTCATTGCTGTAGAGAATGCTCAGAATGGCCAAAGGTCCCTACTTCAGTGGCTTCTGCAGCTGTGCTGACCATGGGACGCTTTGGTTGGCTCCTCTCTAATTATTTCTCAAGGTCCTACAGTGTAGGGCAGTGGTGCTCAACTGTGTGGTCCCATGGGCTGGATAAGTGGTGCAGGACCAGTCCACAGGCTAGATCCCATGGATTGGGTTGGCCTGTTGGCCATATCCAGTGTGGGGTTGGCATGTGGGGCAGTATATGGGTGCAAACTGACACAGAACTGTGTCATTTGACCCAAGGGGTTCTCCACAGGTCCAGATTTGAGGGCATGGAGGCTGTGGCAGCATGAATTGTTGCAGCTGTGGATGCCACCGCAACTGACACTGCCACAGTTCCCTGCCCCCAAATTTCTGGAGCTGTGGGGCTGGATGACATGGGCTGGATGACATGACTCCATGGGCTGAAAGCTAAGCATCACTGGCATAGGGCAAGGAAGGGGCTATCTTAATTCTGATGCTCCTGTGTGCATGTAGGGGGGTGGTGGTCCTCACAGCACAGGTGTGGATCCAGGAAGCTGCAAGGGAGGAAGGGGTGGGGGGGAGAAACATGGCCCAGGTGGACCTCTATTTTCGCCTTCAGTGCAGCACGTACTTCAGTTTATACATGCAATTTTCGAAAGTTCAGGAGTTACTGCAGCCTGATACTAGTCATTAGGGGTGTGCAAAGTGGGCCCTATTTAATTTGGATTTGGATTCAGCCCAAATCAGGGACAGAGATTTGAATCGTTGACTTGGATCACTGTCCCTGATTCGATTCAGCCGAATCTGAATCTGAAGATTCAATGCTGATTCAGAGAATCAGCAATTCAGACATAGACACAGATTTTAAAGGTATTTCTATATACCTCGAGGTACCAGCACAGCTTGTGAATGCTGAGATGCTGGGGCAGATGTAGTGTCCCACAAGAGTGTGGGGGGCCCTCCACATGCTTGGTGGCGAACCTGGAAGTGGACCAGAAGTACTTCCAGTCCACTTCTGGATCCACCAGGGAGCGCACAGGGCGCCCCCCCCCGCAAGCCCCCCTGCGCACTCCCCGGAAGTGCTTCTGGTCAACTTCTGGGTCTGCTGCCAAGCACTCTGGGAAACCCCCCACGCTTCTGGGGGACACTCCATGCCCCGCAGCAGCTCAGCATTCATGAGCTGCCTGCTACCTAGAGGTATGTAGAAAAAACATTTAAAGCTGTGTCTATGTCTGAATTGCCGAATCTTTCTGAATCTCTCCAAATTGATTTGGAGGGCTCCGATTCGATTCAGAAAGATTAAAGGGTCCTCTGATTTGCTTCGGAGATTCAGCCACCGAATCAGGCCAAATATCCGCCAAATCGAATCAGGGACTGAAGCTTTGCACAGCCCTACTGGTCATCTGCTCTGCTGGCTGGCTGGTATTTTTACTATGTGTTTTTAAAGATACCAGGCAGGACAGAGTGCCAAATGGAAGGGGAGTAGCAAGGTATCTCTAACTGGATATTACTATAACAGAGACTGAAGTGTAGTGCTCATACAAATGAGAGGAACTAGCCTGAATTGTATAAGGACATGCCCTATCATCTGTTCCAGGGCTTTCTTTTAGGGACACCCTCCCAGCTGCAGCCCTCTCCCTCTGGCTGAAATCTGGGGAGACATATGCAGTACCTGCTGTGTGCTGTGGTGGACAGGCTGGTCAAAGGACATCCATCTATAGCTTACCATTGTCATAATGCCTTCTGTGGGAGTGACAGCAAAGGCAAGCATCAAAGATCACTCTAGCTGGGCTGAGCCCTCCGTGTTGGGCAATTCACTTGGTTCAGAATTCAGCAACCCACCTGGCCACTGTGGATGTATTGGCTCAATTTATTATCCTCTAGACCATCTTCCCAATGAACAATTCTGCATGGCATCATCCAGCTCCTCCAGTTGTGACCTCCCTGTAACAGCTGGCACAATGAAACTAATTGCAGAAGCCACCCAAAACTTCTGAAGGCACCAGGGAGCAGAACTGCCCCATCACTGCCCATGCCACAGAACTGGGCCTTTCACCCAGCATAGACCAAGATCAGTGCATGCTCAGCAAATGATGTGAGCCTCTGCAAAGCAGGATCCCATTCATTTTTCCAGGCTAAAGAACTCAAGAGAAAGGAGGACAAGCGATGGTTATAGAGGGGATAAACAGAGAGACAGCAGCAGTGTCTGTGAAGCCAGGCTGCCTTCCCTTGCCATTGCATGGGACAGGCAGCAGGGTTCTGCTTTCCAGGACAGTTTCCAGAGGTTGCTGGGGAACAACTAAGAGAAAAACACTGGTAAAAAGCAGTTTGTTATTTTTAGGTGCCAAACAAGGGAGAGTCCAAGGACTGGCCTTGCAGCTTAGGGCAGGGCCCACACTTCCAGGTCCTGAATAAAAAACTCTTCCTGGTGTGATAGTGTCTCGTTGTTGAAAGTCTCACAGGGGCAGCTTCCTCCACGGTACAAATCCCCATCCAGCCACAGCCCAAATTTGCCACTGAAAGAGAAGGCAAGATTTGAGAGACATATCTGAGAGAAGGGATCTATCCAGGGGCCTCTGGCAGGACAGGTGGCTGGGTGCTCTCTGCCTGTTAGCTAATAAGGGTTCCCCTCCTTTCTCTTCTACTTTGTAAGGGTGAAGAGCGGGCTGGATCCTCCCAAGCTAACAGTGTGCTCAACTCTCAGCCACTGCAGTGACAGTGGGGTGTTCCAGTTCTCAGATCGTACCCAGTATATACACTGTGTTCCTTTATGGTTCCTTCCCTCAAAGGCTCTCCAAACACTTAAGGAGCATGGAAGAAGGATCACAGATCCACTCCATCCAGTTCTACCTGCACACTGCTGTGGAGGGGAAAGATTGCACAGGGTCTCTGAGATTCCCTGGAGGCACATGGGCAGCATAGGAGCCCCTGGTTCTGGATGGGGGATAGGGACATGGGAAGGGGCAGAGTCCAGTCTAGCTCACAGCCCTCTTCCTTGCAGCCTGCATGCATTCAGTGCAGGGTCACTCAGAGCCAGTGAGAAGTACAGAGTGTAACAGTCACTTCCCAGAGCACAGTGGCATTTTATATAGTTTTGTATCTGAACAAACAGGCACAAAGACGTCAAATAACTTGTTCATGGTCCTGCAAGAGGCCAGGACAGAGCCAAAAGGCCTGACTCCCAGCCCCTTGCTCTAGGGCTCAGCAATCACATTTCCGCACAGGATATAAACAAGCTGAGCTAGAAGCAGAGAATAGTGGCTCTAGGATAAGCAGCTCAGGTGTGGGAGGGCCTTGAAGAGGCTTTTCTCTGTATTAATAACTTGGAGTGGGTGATCACTGCTAGAGTGTTTGTCTAGTGCCTGGTGTGTGTTTGGGATTCTTTCCCTCACCCCTCGTGGTGTGTGATTACTTTTTTTTCTTTCTTGTTCTACACCTCTCTCTCTCTCTCTCTCTCTTTGTTCTTTTCTTTTCTTTCCCCTTCTGGAGTGGCTGAGTGACAGGACTTGCGCTGGGTGGCGCTGGTTTAGGTAACTGAGGAGTGGACCTAGGATAGGCAGGAGGGCTGTGTGAAACAGCAGCGTTCTGCTTCGACTTCTGTTCAACGTTTTGACAGAACAGTGTTTCGTTTTGAGTTCCATTTCATTTTAAAAGCACGGGTCCATTCTGTTTTGTCGAAATGGTTTCACTGTTTTGATGCTGTCTCGACGTTCCATGCATAGGCTATAATGGGGAAGCACAAAACAGCCTATAACTTTGTCATTTCTTGCCTGATTCTGATGAAAATGCAGGGATGGTAGCCCCTCCTGAGGGCATGAAGCTTGCCAAGTTTCAAGAAGATAGGTTTCATAGATTTCATAGACATCAGGGCTGGGAGGGACCTCAGAAGATCATCGAGTCCAGCCCCCCGCCCAAAGGGCAGGAAGTCAGCTGGGGTCATAGGATCCCAGCAAGATAAGCATCCAGTTTCATCTTGAAGGTGTTCAATGAAGGCGCTTGAACCACCTCCGGTGCCAGGCTGTTCCAGACCTTGGGGGCTCGGACAGTAAAGAA